GCTGAACTACCGCAGAAGGCAGAGGACGCTCTGCCTTTGCGTGTAAGTATCTTAACACATTGAGTAGTGGTGTTCAAGAAGTAGCCTTTGGCGGGGGGAGTCTTTGGGGCGTGTGTGCGCTTTCTGTTTGGTTGTGCTCTGCCTCCAGGGTCCGTGGTGAAAGCTCGGCCTCGCTGGACCCGGCTCGCTAGAAGAACCTGGACTGACCAGCTACGCGTTGGGACCTGTTTTTAATTGACCATTTTAATCTCCTCTTGCACTGACTGGTTTTATGGCACCCGCCTGCTCATTTTAACATTTTTTTATTGTAATAAATCTTTTTTATCGTAGCACCTGGTTTATTTTGCACTGCTCACTCCAGTGATTTTATACCTGTGTTTTAAAATAGGTCCTAGGTCCTCAACCTAGGTGGCGTTGCTGACCTTTTAACTTGTAATTTGGTTTTATGATAAATTAATTTATTCCTTCCCTCGGTCACAACATGCTACTGTGTTTAGCAGAGCTGTAGAAGCTAGAGGACGCAGCCTGTTCGTAAACAGCACCGCCAAGTCTCTACTTAGTATTTTTTACGGCCTGAATTAATACTGAAGCTGAATCAATCAGCTCAAGCATTGAATTCAATTACGGATTATAATAAAACTTTATGTAGTAATAAGCATTTTTCTGAACTCACAAAAAAAAAAAAAATTGGGTTTAGCTTCTCACCACTATCACTACTTTGAGTTGCCTTGTGTATGAATTGTGCTATACAAATAAACTTTCCTTGCCTTACCACTACAAATGTGATTGATTATATTTATAAAACATTTAATTACATACATACATTATGTGCATATGTTTATTCATGTATTTGTATGTATTTGTTTATTTGATATGGACAATGCACATTAATTAACATCAGTAAAATACGACAGAATATAGCTACAGAGATAGTTTTCATGCATGCAAACTGTGTGTACAAGATTCAATGTATAAAACTTTTGTTTTATTTTTTGTTTAAATAAAGAGATGTATTCACATAGTGTCCTCTCTTAAACATTTAAATAAATATTATCCAGTCGTATTTCACCACAACAATATTAGTTTATTAATGGTATAGTTACAGAATTAATGGAAGAAAAATAATCCATATTTTCAGATGAGACTTACAGTGAGCTAGAATAGAAATACCAGAGTGCTCATTTATTCCATGCTCATCTACAGTATTTGTCTGCGGCATTTACATCCCATCCCCATTTGTCTTTGATGGAGTCTGTGGAAAGTGTCACCATCATGAGTGGGCCTCAGTGGGGGCCACAGTAGGAGGCTCATTGTGGGCTATCATTTTTCCATGTGGCCTGAGGCACAGCTATAAATTATGAGACAGGTAAAGTAAATATGTCTCTGATAATAATAAGTTATGCATAATTTATTAATCACATTATTCGATGGAGGTTTCAACTGTATTTGCTGTACTTTAAACAATTATGTTCAATGAATCTGGGCTAAAACTAATCATTTTATAAACACTATGGCATGCATTATTCACATTTGTGGGCTAACCGGCTCAGGGACAAACTGATAAATAATGGCTATTTATCTGTGCAGATGGCACCACCATGTTATGATGTAACGGGTGAATGATTAACAACTCAGTTAAAACATTTCTATCATACAAACATGTGTTGCTTGAAATATGACAACAAGACTTCAATCTGAAAGACTCAGACCAGAAAGTGTATTAGAATGATGTTTATTGAGTTACGTTTACGGAGGATATTATTTACTCCTTGATTAGACATGTAGTATGGTATCCAATTATGTTTTGTGCTGCAGGAGGGATTTGAACAAATATTATGAAAGTGAAATCCCCTCTAAACCCTGGTAGCAGAAGGAAGCCAACGATATGAAGAGTGACGTCCCACTGTTCAGGCGAAGATGATGATGATGAGGAGGAGGCAGGTTGCTTCATGAGCTGAAAGTTATAGCACAAAACTGTGAGACACTAACCGCTAAAGGCCTAACTTTCACACACTTTAAAACTTCCCTTTTCACTACCGCAGAGCCAATGAGCTGTGGTGAGTGGCCCCTCCCTCAGAAAAACTGAAAAAACCTGCCTGCAGCTCCCCTTGCTGTATCCGTCAAGCAGCACAAATTGTGCAGCAATGAAACTCAGCTGGAACTGCTGTTTGCGATATGCGTCATGTGACCATGCCAGATGTGCGGCAAAACAAAATGGCGGCATCCTCGGCAAATATAAAAAAATCCACAGCAGCTATAGAAATCTGATTTGAGAAGATTCACTCGCGCAATTGTTAGCATTGGGTCAAGAGCCATATACTCTGTGTGTGTGTGTGTGAGGGGGCCATCTTCATTACTGAAATATTCGTCCCACAGCGGGGATATTTCAGTAATGAGGATGCATGAGGAAGGTATTGTGTGTCCAACAAAATTATTTATTAATTTTTCATCCTTCTTTTAATCCTTCTTGTTTGTTTGTCTGTGTATATAGGAATTATATTTGTTTTTTAAAATGAAAAAAAACAACAGTTTTGAATCAGCACAATCGTGCCGTTTTTGTCTCATGGTAAGTCGCCTTAGCGTTACACAGTAGCCAGACTGCAAAGAACCCATGGCAACCCATGTCTTTATAGTCGAGATTGGACAGCCAACTTCTCCCACTGTCTAATACAATAGAAATACAGATACTGATTAGCCAAGGCACAAGTGTGTAGACCACAGAGATATTTAGTCTTAAGTCTGAACCATATAGGTAAAGCTCCATTTGGCCAAAAGAATTGAAATATTGACACCAGTTTTTCCCTTTGCCTTTTTATGTAAAATGGATGTCCACAGTGGTACGTGGATGTAAGAGACTGACCCTATATAGATAAATGTCCGCGTAATTCCTGCTTGTGAACAGACCTATGGACCCTGTGATGTTTGGCATGATCTTTTCGCCCTTTCTCTTTCGGCGTCTGTGTACATGATGCAGGGACGCGCTGTGTGTTTGTGTGAGCAGAGAGGGCACATTCGCCTTAATGTCCTTGGGGAGTAGACCTCGCTCAACGGGTCAGGGTGGCTGTGATCTGAATGGAGAGCATTAATATTTAAACACGGGCTCCTGAGGGAAAGAGACTGTAAATGATTCATGATTTATACCGGGGGCTCGGCAACAGCGGCAGCAGCAGCAGCAGCAGCAGCAATAGCGGGAGCTTGGTAGATTTACTAATTCCTCCTTGTGACCCGTGCTGTCCTCCTACTCCTATATGGGAGGCTTTCATCTCTCATTTCATCTCCAAGGGTAATGTCTTCCTCAACTTGATTATTTTATATATTATGTTATGCATTAAATTTCCTTCAAACCACAGGCCTTCTACACCTTTGTGACAGCACATGAAGGAGATAAGTTGTTTGCTTCTGACAAATAAGTCCAGCATTTACAGTATGTGTAGTATAGTTTGTGCCTATGCTATGGAACAAGATTTAAGTTATTTGTTGTTACATTTGTGACATGTGAACCATCGGACTCTAAGGAGCACAGGGACTGGCCTCCGGCGCTAAACATTTCAGCTAAAATCGGGAACAGTCTAGCTGAAAATGTGAGACTGGCTTCCACTCTGACAATGTTCAAATCCAGGTTTAAAAGCTATACTGAGATTATGCAACAATTATTATTGATTTTGTAATCATTATATGTTTTTGTAATCATTATTTTATTTTATTTTTTGTGTGTATTAAAATGTTTTTAAATGTGTATGATTTTATGTTCTTGTGAAGCACTTTGGGTTGCACTGCATGAATTGTGCTTTATAAATAAACTTGATTGATTGATTATTTATGAGGTTAATGCATTGTATTATGGTTTCTATCTTGTTTTGTTAATTAAGCACTTTGAGTTGCCTTGTGTATGAACTGTGCTGTATAAATAACACTCACTCTGCCAGCTCTCAGCCCAAAGAGTCAAGTATGAAAAAGTCGAAATTTCCCCACTGTGGGACGAATAAAGGAATTCTTATCTTATCTAAAATATGCAAAAGATGACACGTTATAGATATTTTTCTGTAGACAGCATGTTGTCTACATTCTTTGCGTTGGGACAAACATAATGTATTTTTTTATGGAGAAAAATAATAGGGACCCTAGGTTTAGAGTATTATTCATATTGTAGAGCGTATACATAATTATAAGTATACCAGTGAACATACAAAACAAATAAACTAAAACTAATCATATGAATTCAAGAATGATTGGCAGAAAAGACAAGCAGACCTAATTTCTCGTACTCTTTCAGTCTCATACTCTATTAAAAAAACGACACAGAGCGGCCATTCATATTACCATATTTCAATTTGAAAATCTCGCCAAGTTACCAGGGCATCACTGAAATGGCAGTGGTTCCCTCGAAGTCACTGATTTGGTTGTAGTCTGCATCCTCTGGCAAGCACACACTGGAGACATTGTTGCTAGGAGACAAGCTGTCAACTTGCAAAGGGCTGCTCTGATTGGCTCGGCACATGTGTGAACTCAATTCTGCGTCTTCATGAAAGTTACATGTGGACATACGCAGGCTCTTTTTGGTGTCTGGGTTTTTGCAGCGACTAGACTGACTGGAGAAGTGACATTTCTATTGGATGTGACAGTGTCTGGTGGCGCCACGCTTCTACTGAGGCAACATTTTGGCATTCTGTGACACCATCTTGGATTTTTGGAAAGTTGCGCTCTGGAAACACATGCTTAAAAACATGGCCACGGACGGAAATGTAAAACACAGATGCTAATTGTGTTGGAAATTGTGCTGCATAGGCAAAAGGCATACAACTTCCATTACTCTAACCAGGCACTTAAAGGTGATGTTTGCAACTTCAATCATACTCCATTTTGAAAGCAATCAATATTTTTTACCTATGACCCTGTGGTATCATCTATGAGTATTTATTAATTATGAATGTATTGAAACAGTCCGTCCTCTTGGATTAGCCATCATCAGCAAGATGTGCTGGAGCAGAATAGTCAAACCAATGGTGAGATGCTTCAGCTCATTGCGTCCAATCAGGAATCTGTGCGGGCTATCTGGAACTTACATTCTCAAAACTTCTCTTCATCTTGCCAATTTGATATGTACCATCCCTTTAATTTATTGAACTAAAATAGCATGTGGTATTTTCATCATTGTGTGTACTTTTGTATTATGTCTGCCGTGTAAAAATACAATGATATTCTCTATAATGTTAATGTTTACAATGTTTTCAACAGATTATCCAATCAGAGAAAAAACTGAGGCCTTCTTTTGGGTTGCCAGTTTGCTAGTGAGATCCTGGTACAAAAATTTGGATTGGAGGTAAATTACATACTGGCCCTTTAAGTTAAATTCTAGAATGTGGAACAGTCAAGACGGAGGTGAAAAGATCCCAAATTATTGTACAGGTTAAAAAGGATAACGTGGAAATATAAATAATGTATATTCCCCTTCTCTCTGTACACATGACATCAGGCCACAGGAAACCCCATCACTCGCCCCCCTGTGTAGAACGCATGACAACAGTGAATATTCTCATTTCCAACACAGAATGCCCCCGCCGCGCTGTCGCTGTCACTGGCACGGGCGTCTTGTCGGCTCACTGCGGAGATGGATGGGGCCTGTGCTCAGCGCTGGGACAAAAAGGAGAGTGCAAATAAGATCAAGATCCATGGACAGGCAGGTCTCAAGTGGCAGCAGTCAGCGCTGATAGAGACTGATGAGGAGGAGCAGTGCAGACTGAGCTGAAGAGGGGGCAATCCTAATGCTGCACAAAACTAAGAGGAGACGGATGAGAGGCGCAGTGGAAGGCAATCGGAAACTACACGGATATTATGAGCATACAGGATCTGAAGACTTATTGAACAGATGCAAGCGGGGAAGGCGGTGATCAAAGTGTGGCTAGGTTTTTTTTTAACTCAAAGAGAACCTCCTGCAGGGTTTGAGCAATGAGAAGACAATCCCGTTGGGTTTCAGAAAGGTTAATTGCCAGGGCTGCACCAAATATATATACAAATATTCAGTGTGATGATAGCAATAATGTGCGATAACTTTTAGATATTAGCAATATGGTGGTTAATAACTCAGGACATTTTCAATAAGAAAGTGCTGGGTTCAAATCCCTGTCGGAACACTTTCTGAGTGGAGTTTGCATGTTCTACCCGTGTCTGTGTATGTTTCCTCTGGGTGCTCCGGATTCCCCTACCACTAAAAACATGTACAAGAGGTCTGACATGTGCCTCCTGTACTGGCAACCCATGCTCAAATCTCTGTGTGGAGTGAAAGACAAATGCCCACAATGATTGTAAAGCGCTTTGTGACTGGTCTGTGAAAGGCGCTATGTAAATACAAATTACTTACTTAATACTTGGTGGAAAAGTGTTTGTTCACTCATAGGCTTGTTTTTACATTGACTAATGGAACGCAACCTTGAACTCACATCCCTGAAAGTGCTGTTTCGTCATTGGCCAAAGGGAGCGAATAAACTCAAGAGGCAACAATGTTTAGATCCACAGCAGCAAGTAGAGATACCAAATTGTACCCCAGTAGAAATTCTGGGAAAAAAAAGTTCCCTCTCTTGGAAATAAAAAATAGCTCTGAAAAATGGCACAAAATTACATGACATCACGAAGCACCTTGGCCAGCAGAAGGCACATTTGAGATGGAGATGAGACAAAATACAAGTGAAAATATAAGCAGCAAGAAACTTGTTCCTAAATACAGTGTAGTTCCCAAATGTGAGTTTCAGCAGAGATGATGTTGCAGAAGCAGACATACATCTAAGAATTACGCTGGAAAACACAAAATAGAAGTGCTGACTCAGAGCTGAACAGAATGAGCGCTCCTCTTTATTTTCCTTTTACAATTATAAAATTACAAATTTAAATTTCATGTATGAACCTGTTTGGATAGATGTACTTTACAATATCGAAGGAAATTATTATTAGTTTCCATTCTCAGCAATAGTACCACACACAAAACAATAAATATCCAAATAAAAAGGAGAGGATTCAATTTTCAAAGCGGTGGGCAAAATCTGTGACAGGTTTACAACTGTTCTTGTGACTGAAATTACAAATTATTTTCATCTTAAATGCTAAAAAGGAAAGAAAGATATTTCAATTTAGAGAAAAATCTTGCACCAATCACACACTGTTTCCTCTTTTATCCCCTATCCTTTTTCCAATATCGTGCATCTCTATCCATAATGATTTCCAGTTTATAACGATGTTTAGAACAACGTTTTACCATTTAAATTATATTTTGGACTGGGTTCAATGGTTGAGCAAGATTTATTATCCCTTTGTTACATTTCTGTAAGAAAAAGCTGTTCTGAAACTGTGATTTGTGGATCCTGTGTATGGATTTTACAGTGGATACTTTTACACTTCCCTGGATTCTTTTAGTTCCATTATCTTTTATCTCCCAAAGAGTCTCACACACATTGTTAATCTTTATACCTTCATGGTAATGTCCTCCGTCAAGGTTGTGAGCTCTCAGATTCGACAAAAAAAATGGAAAATAATCTAAATCAATTCTGCCTCTTCTTGACCATTAATCTACACAACGATTCAATTTGTGAGTTTATCAACGAGTTAAATATCTTAATTTGTGTGAGCTACATGTGGAGGGAGCGTGGATCTCTTGTTTTCTGCATAAACCAGAGGCATCTCATGTTCCGCGGAGGCACTCAAACCCCCACCGCAGATCATTGAGTCTACAGCGATCAGGCTCTTAGCACAGCACCATCCACTTCACCGTGTCCACAACAATTACCGTCCCGGCTAAGACTTTACACGCTAAGCAGAACACGAGAGCAAGCATTTTCTAACAACAGTGAAGTCTATTAAGTTGTTTATGTACAAGCCACAATTTTTGAGAATAATATATTTTTTAAAATGTATAATAATGATAATGCATCGGTGCCCAAGGGCTACTACTATAGCCCTTGGGCACACTGATGGAAGCGAAGCAACCGGTATGTACCATCGGCCCCTCCGACCACCACCAGTCATTCACACACACACACCAGACACTTTAAGGCAATGTGGGTGAAGTGTCTTGCCAAAGGACACAACAACAGTTTGGCACTTTACAAACCACAGCCGCCCCACTGTGGCACCTGGTGTTCCCAGAGGTCTCCCATCAAAGTACTAACCAGGCCCAGTCCTTCTTCGCTTCTGATACCTACTGGGATCTGGCTTTCACAGGCAGGAAGCAACATAAATATATTTCTAACCTTTTTCTTTTTGTCTTTAGTAAACACAACACAATGATATGCAAACCAGAACATATTATTTTTTGATCCAAATGCTTTCCTTATTTTGCTAACCTTAGAGTTGCAAATAACATGACCTTTATATATTGGACACAAAATGAGTTCAAAACCAAATCACCTCCAATCTGTGATCAAACACATGTACTATATTTGGGGAGAGAACAGTATTGGTTGGAATCCGTTGTGAAGTATTTGAATGTGTACATGATGTCTTAGCCTTCTCCATGGTCTGTATCAACGTTTATATGTTGTCATTTTATTGTTATTAGTTATTATTATTTATGTGTTTACTTTAGTGCACAGTAGGTAATTACGTGGCCAAAAACACAGTCAAAGCTTTCAAGGCTACAAATAGTGCCCAGTGATAGTTAATTTGTAAGTTTTAAGCAACTACCATTTATTGATGAGACTTCAGGACTCATGACTTTGTTTCCAAATGCTCTTTAACAAACCAAGCAGCATTAGTCTGAAAGAACTCTGTGAAACAATCAATGCTTTCTGGTGCATGCAACAGAAATCCAGTTGCACATCTTTATCAAGCCGAGGGGGATTGAGAAACTCACATAAACCAAACCAACAACTTCTATGGAAGTGCGAATCTACATTGTTATGAAATGTGAGAATAGACGGACGGGTTTGCTGTCGCTTCCAAAATCTCATTTTGACAAGTGAAGTTATGTCACGCTTCTGTCCTCACTCTCATATCCACTTTTCCAATGTGGTAAAGCAGATTTCCAATGAAAGATCTGCTTTACCACAGATATGTTTCAACCTTGTATTTCCATTGACTATACAGAATCTCCATTTGAATATTTTACCTGACTTTACTGGTGGCAGAGTGGTCCGAGTGCTGGGTTCAAATCCCGGTCGGAACAGGACCTTTCTCAAGATTCAAGGTGACTTTATTTGTAACCGTGGGTAGATTCTTTTTGCATTCAAAAGTACAGACTTGGCATCTACACTTGCTGAGTGGAGTTTGCATGTTCTCCCCGTATCTGTGTAGCTTTAATAGAAGCAACACTGAGAAAACAAAACGAGCAGAGGCATGTCTGCAATTATTTTAAGATATTACATTGTCTATCCTAGTGCCTCTAAAACAATCTCCTTCAATACTCGTCGTTGTCTTAATCATGTTATAGTTGTATTGCCACACCAGGACATGCACCAGTCTTATGCAGTCTGTACCACTTCTCACTTGCGAGGACAGTTGCATTTAATCATTGTAACTCCTCAAGCGTCATTAGGCTATGTACTGATAGTTCCTAAATGAATGGATTGTAGAAGTGTTGGTAATCCATATTGGTTAATGTGTGTGGGAGGGACAAAAAGGAAAGGTGTGCTTATGTCCCAACGCAGTCGTGGCTTGGTTACGCAAAAAGTACCATAAACTGCAGGAGCTAGAGTCGGAGTTAGGAAACAGAGACTTAATGAAGTCGTGTATGATTTTTTTGTAAATATTATTTTCCCTGTGTAAGAGCCAAAGCAGTTAAAATGCTTAAAAGTGTTTAATTCAAAGTTAAAAATATGAAATCGTTTTTTTTTTAAAGATCAAATTATATGTTAAAAATGGCTAGTTAAACGGGTAAAATTCTTAAGTTAAAGAAAGATTCTTTTAATGAGCCACCACAGCCTGAATACTTTTTCACTCTGCTCTGTGCATATGTTTTTTTTTTTTTGTACTTTCTCAGACTGTTTTTCTTCTGAGCGCTCCAAATTAAAACTTCTCCAACCGCTATTCCGGTCCAACGATGAGTTTGTGAAAAAGAACCGATCACAAAAACCAAGATTATAGCACAAGTTTATAATTTGTGTTACTCATGCAGTCCCCGGCGGCCTGGTGTAATTGTGATTCCCATCTTGTTTCGTAACGCCCAATCGTCCTCAGAAGGCAGCTCTTTGAAAGGCAGCTCTCTGAAGGGCATTTTTAGACTGCAGGTTTGCTTTACCCTCATTTGCTCGACTACTTGATAAGTAATTAGTTGTAGTCTGCCGTCATACTTGCTGAGGTTAGCACATTGGCGTCGGCAATGCTCTGATTATTCACATAATGGGGAGCTCTAGAGGAGCTGATAGCAGTAAGATAATGTCTAATTATGGATCTAATATATGGATTTACTCAGGAGATTACCATCTTCTTCCACAAATGTGCACTGTAAGTACTTTTTTATGCCGACACCCTAAAGGAATAAAAAAAATGTTTAGAAATATAATGGTTCATGTAAAGGAAATGCAATACAGCTTTTCTAGTGAGACGACCACAAAAATGCCAAAGTTAACGAAAATCATTCAAAACAAACTTGGTTAAGGTTCTGTATCAAATGTATTTTATTGAGACATTTTGAAAACCAGATCACAGTTTCACCATCACTGCATGTTACCGTTGATTCTCACATCAGCGTAGCATAGCATTTTCTCAATACGTCGCTCTGTAATGACCTTCATCCTATCCCGGATGAGCCAGAGGACTCAT